GAGGGAAGGGAGTGTCATGTGATTAGCACAAACTGAATTCTCGCAATGATAAAAATAAAGGGGTGATTTTTCCAAGAGACCCAGGTCCCAACATACAAATACACATGTAGTTGGAAAAATTGATTCACTGAAGAAACGAATAAATACAGAAATAAATACAGGAATGAGAAAAACAAAAGACAAACTGAAAATGTTGCAGACATGCCAGAGAGATTAGGGTGACAGAAAAAAGAGATGAAAGAACAGGGGGAAAGAAGAAAGGAAAAAAAAGGAAGAGAAGGGGGAAGGCAAACATTGAGAAACCAAAAGGAGAGACAAAGCGTGAAAGAAAGAGAGAGAGAGAGAGAGTGAGAAAGGGAGAGAGGGGCGAAGGGGAAGGACAGAGCGAGAGAGAGAGAGAGAGAGAGAGAGAGAGAGAGAGAGAGAGAGAGAGAGAGAGAGAGAGAGAGAGAGAGAGAGAGAGAGAGAGAGAGGGGAGAGAAGCGCAAATGAAAGTTTGTTGTAAAACAAATAAGAAAAGAGGGGGGGAAATGAAAAACGGGAAAATAAAACATGTTACTGCGAACGCCGACATAGAAATTGTGGAACTTTGAAAACGCAGCGTCATTAATTTAAGACTTTGCCGCTGCCCCATTTAGCTTCAACCCAAGGAAGTATGGGATAAGAAAGGGAAGTACAATCATTAAGACATTGGGATGGAATAGGAGCTTTTGAAGCGAAGAAATAACGACATAAGTCCCCCTCCCCCCGAAAAACAACAAAAACAAAAGACAAAAACAAAGAGAAACAAACAAACAAACAAACAACCCCCCAAAAAAACAAAAAAAACCAACAACAACAACAAAACAACAAAAACCCAGCTTTACGAAATCTGATACGGGTAAAGCAATAACATCATAACGTCCATTCAGTCAGACACCGATGTTTATTGCCAGCTCAGCAAGAAATAAAACCAGACGGAACAAAGCCTAGTGCTGTATTGCGTCCCTCTGGCAACACTGTGTTGAGGGTAATGATACAGTCGCAGTGCAAACCGGCACGTAGTTGTTAAAAGAATAACGCCCGCGCCAGAGCCACTTTAGTTGAAAACACCAAATCTGGATGCATGCAAACGTATGTGAAGTAGGCTAACATCCCACCGAACATCTTAATATTATTATGTGGTGGAAGCTACAGCATTAAAAAAATATTTTTTATTCGACTTATCATGCCTATATATAGCAATATTGGATAATTTCTAATTTGCACATTTATTGTTTCCAATTCGTGTACTATCTTGATTCATTGAACAGTTTATTTATTTTGTTGTTCATTCTTTTACGGTGTTTTTGTTTTGTTTTTTTGTTTGTCTGCGAACACAAAAATAAGGCTTGGCATTCTCGTTCCAACAGCTAAAAAAACAAAAAACAAAAGCAAAGACAAAAACAAAATAAAAAACGGACAGTCGAGAGCAGGGTGTACTCACGCAATAGCATCAATCATATCCAGCCCCATCTCCACACAGCATGCGGCGTGGTTGGCGCGTGCCTCAGGCAGTCCACTCACGCAGTAGTAGCAGTCGCCCAGGATCTTGATACGCATGCAGTTGTTTTGCTGCAGAAGAGAACACAGTAGATTTTTATACAATACATGAATGTAGTTTCAGTTTCAACAATGACTGTTGTGTGTTTTGAATAGACAGTAAGGGAAGTCTGTTTTTAAAAGAAATATGTATATATACTTACGGACAGCTTTTCAAACAATTATTATGACAATTTAAGTACATACGTGCCCCTTTTATATTCGATTACCGATAATCTGATCTTCTGAGAAATGTCTCACTTTTTGAACGGTAATAGTACTAACATTGAGGCACTTTAAATAATAAAAATGATCTTTTAGTCAAACGGTCCCCACTCTTTTTGTATGGAAACAAAACTCATACTTATAAAACCTAACAAATAACAGGAATCCACCTTGCATACGCTATTGGACAATTACATACGTAAAAAAACAAATTGTTAGTCTTTTTTGTTTTTGTAAAGTGTTTTACGGCGCTCGCAACTGCATAGGTCATATGAGCGCGCGGGACACACCTAATATTTTCAGTTGGTAGGAAAATTTTTAATTTTGCCCGGGTGGCGGCCGAAGCCTACTCTTATCGATTTTAGACCACCAAGGGATCTTTAACGTGCGCAACTT